GCCTTGATGTTAGAAAAGGCAAAGGGACAACTGTCTTGCCAAAACATCCCCATGTACTTCCCTACACGTCTGGCTAAGTGCCTTCCAGTCCAATACGTTAAACATAACACATTCTGCCTTGCCTTATCGCCCAAGTAACAGAGAACAAATGCCACCTTCTATGTCACGCATGAATCATCTACTTGCTTCTCCATTATACTAACTAAAAAAGCTCTGATCAACTGAGCTTTCCACAACTGTAATTCTTTTCTATTTACACCATTACAACTCCCCAGAAACCCTCACCGGTCAACATTTTCATAACACATCTAGATTACAGCATTAAAATGACCTACAAATGTATCTCCTTCTCAATTTAAATGTTAACTTTAAATTAGCTTTAAGTTTTAGCAGCTTCCAATACCTATCATGTACAAATACACTTAAGTGAGATCAAAAAAGAGTCCTGACTCATTTGGATAACAATAATGACAACAGAGTCCACAAACATCAGTATGAGCCTGCTTGGGCTCAGAGGTTTTACATCTTTGTCAAAATCATAAATGCATTTGCTTTTGACTCTGAAAATCTTGGAAAGTTAAAGGCAGAAGCCACAAGCAAAAATGCTGACACTTTACAGTTAAGCAGTGTATTTTCATTTTCAGGATCACAAAGTATTCTAAAGAAAGCATGTTTGCATATGGGGCCCCAACGCTTCCAAGAAAAACAGATAAGTTATCTGCTGCAGAGAAGAGCAAAATGAGACAAAACTACTAAGATTACTAGCTCAGTCACTCAAAGGAACAATTCCAGACTGAGGAACACAAAGTACTGCAATAAAATATGAAACTTCCCAAGCACTTCCCCCAAAATTAGGGGAATATTTGAGAGTTTTCAAACAACTTCACACATGCACAGACACTTTCAATCAGGTTTGCAACACAAACCCAGCAATTCCTACTGCCATGTAAATACAAGGCAGCACGATAGCAATTACTCTGTTTGAAGCTTACCCTTAAACTGGCAAAGGAAGAAATGACATTACTTTTTTTCCTGCAGTCATAAGCGGGCCACACCTGAAAGCTGTAGCTACATGAGCTCAGAAATCTTTTCCTTCAGTCAACACAGAAACTAATATAGAAACTGGTGATTTGTTCTCCTGTTTTCAGTAGAAAATTTACATATGAATTACACACCAAATTCCTTTGGTCTGATAAACTCTTCTGGACTCACATGAAGGAAATACTGCTTCTTCATTATCATCCTCCTCTTGCTATTCTTTACTGCCTTTACAGAAAAACTGTACACCTAAAGCCAGCAAACATAGCGGTTAAGTCCATCTACTGCCTTGAGTCTGTGCATAGAAACAGAGGTTTGGAAGTATATCCTTACATTTCAATGCATCTTAGATTCCCAGATTTTTTGCCAGACAAGCCTGCTTGTTTGTCACTGCCTTGTGCATAAATATTAATGCAATAGTTTGCATCAGTCCAGGAATCATCTGATGCAATTCAGCTGATTCTCAAAGACATAAAGAATTGCATATAATAGCCTACGTAAATGGCTGATTTTCAGAACCCTACTGCAAGACCCAAATACTAAATTATTTCCTATTACTTTTCATATTCATTAATAACCATTAGATAAAGAACAAATGAACATACACAGAGGCTAGAAACAGCACAAGAGTCACTTAGGTGTTTCCCATGACAGAATACAATTCAAACATTGTTTTTGCACTTGAGAACACAAATGCAAATATTTCATAATCACACTACATATGGGAAATCAAAACAATCCTTACCGGTTTTTAATTGGCATTTTCAGTAAAAAGTCAGGCTATGCTAGTACAAGGTGGCAGGAACTGTGCCATCCTCCTTCGGCAGACTTTTCCAAATGCCCCTGTGTTCAACTAAGTCTAAACTCTACTCTGTTTTGTTTCCCCAGGAGGACCCATTCAGCACCATGTGCTCCTTTTCAGCTGTCAATAAACAGAAGCGGTGAATTCCCCCGCGCTTCACAAAGCTAGTTAGGCATAGCCATTCATTTCTTCGGGAAAACAGGGCATTGATTTCAGCAAATTCCCAGGGAGCAGCTACAACAAAGAGATCAAAGATCCACCTCCTTTCCTGCCCAGCCTTGGCCAGCCAGGCCAAGAGGAACAGCGACAGGTTTCCCCAAGCGCGGGCCCGAGCCCCACTGACCACCGCGTGCTCCATTCACACCCGTCGCCTTCCTACATTCCTGGGACAGCCCCCGGCGCTAACCGTGACAAACCCCTACATTCAGGCAGCATAATATACTGCACGCTAGTTCATCCGAGGATAAAAAGAAAAACAAGCTCCAAGGGAAGTCTGCTGCTTCCCCGACTGGCCAAGCCTCAGTAGCTGCCAGACATTTTATAAACTTCTCTTTTTTTTCCTTAGCCTCTCCATCTAAAACAGAGAAACACTTGCTACCTCAAATTCATCATGCCGAAACTCCACTCGGATGTTGTCTTTTTTGGTTTGTTTCCACAGGCTTGAAGACCTAGCGGCTGGAGTCTGAGGTCTAGCTGCAGCAGCCCCTGTATTATGCAGCCATGACATTTTCTTTGTGCAATTTGCCCCAGACTGCAGCGATTTTTTCCTAGGAATCTAAGGGGGTTTGTTCTGGTTTGGTTAGATTTTTTTTTTTTTTTTTAATTATACATCTAGTCTTCATTAATGTGACCTCGAACAAGGTTTTTAATCCTAGAATTTGAGCTTGTATTGAACCGAGCACTAGTGAAAGACAATGCTGTGGCCAGGCTTAGGGACTAGGTGGTTAGGCTACATGTCTACTACTAAACAGTAAGAGCCAGAAACTGTTCCCCGGTGCTGAGACCACCTGGCATCAGCTCCACGTGTCAAAGCGCTCCTCACCTCCTTCCCTTTTTGCCCACAGTTTGGTTACATCCGAATTCCTTACCTGGAACTGAGCCTGGTAGATATTATCCCCAAAACACACCTTGGTGTGGCTTGTTAGCATAGGGCAGTACTAAGCTCATGGGTTGGCTCTGCACTACTTATTTATATAAAAATAGACAAAGATCTAGAGTCACTTCACATCTGTACAGATCTGCCAAGTTATTCTTCAGCATTCCGCTGTGCACTGACATTTTTCCAAGGCCCTACCTGGCTGACACAAACCCCACATGCATGTGTACTCCTGCCAGCTGGAACCTGGAAGGTCCCCCTCAACACTGGTACTGCCTCGAGGGTATTTACACATTTCCAAGTGAGAAGACAAACGTCTATCCCTCTAGCATGACCGAGTATCACAGGACCTGCCACAGCACAAGCAGTACAATACTGAGACCAGGTACAGGTGGGAGGAATGATGGATCGTTGCACAGAAGACAGCTGAGAACACAAGGAAATACAGAACTGCAGAATTATTTGAGTTGCAAGAGACCTGTGGAGATCAACTAGCTCAGCCTCTTGTAGAAATCAGGCCCTTAGATTAGCATTACCCATGACCCTTGTCAAGCCATATCTCAAATATTTCCATACAGGCAATTCTACCGCTTCCCTGGGCAGCCTATTCCAATGTTGAATCAATCCTGCAGTGAAAATGCCCCTTACATCCAGAAGCATCTCCCCTGAAGCAACTTGTGGCCATCCCCTCTTGTCCTGTCATGGTGCATGCTTGGGGAAAGAGTGCTTCCACCTCCTTTCCCATAACCACCTTTTCTGTATTGGAAGACTATGACTAGATCCCCTTGAGCCTTTTGTTCTCCAGGCTGAACACACCCAACTCCTTCAACCTCTACTCAGGCGACAACTTCACTAACCCACTAACCATCAGGAAAAACATGAGAAAGGTGCTGACACTGAGTTGAAGGGAAAAAAATGAAAGTCACAGGGCATGAAATAGCTAGAACAGTCAAACCAGATTAAACATCTGAGTAAAGTTGAGGAGTCTTAAGTGATTTTGACAAGGACTACTGTGCAGTCACCCTGTCCTCTCACCTTTCTTTAACATCTCACTCCCGACAGCAGTTTTGCTTGTTGTGTACAATAGTCAGGCATACTACGTTCCTTGTTTTAGAGTTCTCCCTGTATCTAAATGGCACTTAAGCATGACCCAAAATTGCCAGTTAGCAGATAAAGCTCAAAAAATGCATTTTCACAAATAACTTGATCTTGATGCACAGATATAGCCTCCACAGATAGCTGCTGCCAGTAAGCCACTGATGGTTTTATATTTATTAACTGATTACAGTTATTGACAAAAAAAACCTGTTTTCTTTGTTCCTCTGAGGAAGTATTGGAGACTGCTAAAATGGGTTTCTGAATTCCTCTCTCTTATACTGCACAGTGTGCAGCTGCGCAGCCCTTGGAGGCAATGATAAAAAATGGTAGCTGATGCACCAGAGGGACTCCAAAAGCAAGCACGTAGGTCAGATCAATAAGCACAAAAAATGTGCTTAATGCTGCAGATATCTTAGGCTGGAGCGAGAGAGTGCAAGTATCGGGGAGATCTGAGCAGTGTTTTTTAGTGGAAATTAGGTCAGCAAAGTATAAGAATATGCCAGTTGTATATTCTCTGCTGTTGAAAAAGAAGGATGGATGATAGTGGTGAGGCATGACATTTGGATGTGAGTTGGATAGTGATGCTTTGGAAACACAGGAGTTAAATTCACAAAGTGATTAAAAAATCCCAAGGACATCACTCAGTAGTAATCTGGGATGGTATTTGTGCCAAAGATGGATAAAACATTTTAGATAGAACTGTAATTTTAAGTCTCAATGAACCAGTCTGTTCTTATACATGGGCCAGATTTTTACAATTTTACTTACATTAAGTCATGTTTTACTCCAAGAATAATCCCGTTGATTATAATGGCAATATTGTTCCACAGATGTCTCGGAAGAAACGCAAATGTAAAAGCAGACTTTATACTTAAGATAAAAGACATAAATCATGAGCACATCTGGGAATCTGATAGAAACATATGGTACAAAAAAATCACTGTGGGATGAAGGAAATGTACTTACATAGCAGGTCTGTGGACATGTTTACAGATCAGGCAAAGGAAACCTACATAAAATAAATGAAAAAAGAATGATCAGTTTTTTGAACTAGCACTATTCATGTTTAAATCTCATGCTAGTTATATACGTAGTTTTTTAGTTCTTTAGGAAATGAGGAGAACATATCTAGGGAAATCTAACAAGGAAGAATTTCAGTTTGTAGAGGAAAAGAATAAATCCATCTATTTTTTACTCCTTAATAAATTATTCCACTTCATTTAACAAACAATGTGAACTTACAATATTAATGTAATGCATTTTAATTAGAAGCAGTTCACTGTATCCCATATCTTCACTAACATTTATTATTAAAACAGAATCTTCAGGCGCCGTGTATTTTACCCATGCCATTTTGTGTTTAAGCCTGCTATTTTTGGTATACATCTTAAGAGCCCTCACCCTTGAAAGGTCAAAGGGAATATTAACTAAATGTAGGATGAGACATTTTATTTGCTCTCTTGAAAGACTTCTGGAGACTGCTAGCTTTCTGCTAAACTGTACATCTTGTTCATTTCCCATTCATCTGCTGAAAGCTTACTATAAGCACACAGGATCAGAGCCTGAGTTTTCTGTAGCTGCCTCCAACACAGTGGGATCCCAATGTGTAGATACAGCTACCTGGAGCAACAGAAATAACAAAGCACATAATAATAATAAGGGGGCATGCAAATAACAGTGTGAATCACATCAGCTTGTGCCATTTTGTTGTGTCCTGTACAAATCCTGAAAATTTCAGGCAGTGTTTTAAGATGTATGTATATTTCGGGTGAAACTTGACTCTGATGAAGACAACAGTATTTTGTTGCTGACTGAAATGTGTCAAAGAAAACATCTTGATTTTAAAAAATACAATGATTGTTAGTAGGATACTTCCAAATTAATTGAATCTGGTTGGGAGAATGGAGGGAAGGGAATAAAGATGAAAGGAAAATTGGATGGTAAAGAATAATGAGAATTGAAGAGCAAACAGACGCAAGGAGAGTAAAGGAGTGGCAAAGTAAGGTGAATTCAGAGCATGATGAGGCAGAAGTCAGTGCTCTGATTATGAGAATTTGCCAAGGAAGAAGCTGTGCCTCTGCCAACTTGTCCATAAGCAGGATGAGAAAGCTGAGATCCATCTGCTGAAACCTATGAGCAGACCGTAGTGCCATTTTCAAGTGTAAGAAGACTAAGGTAACACTTCTAGTGATCCATTGTAAGCACCTAAATTGCCATCTTAGCTTGAGGACATGTTGTTTGTCCCTGCATACAAAAGTAGTCACGCTGAGCAACACCCGCCCCCAGCATTTACTCAAAAATTATGTACATACAGACCATCATTACTGGGCAACATAACAAGAATGCTGATTACATTAGCAAGTTAACAATTGATAAAGTTAAAGTTTAAGTGCTCACAGACCCAATCCCAAGACCAAGACACACAAAGTTAGGAAATCAGACTTGCTATCTTACCATGTGTCTCATCACAATGTAATCAAACCCCCAAGGATTTAAATTGTCAATCCTAGCATAAAAGACAATATATAAAGAACATATATGTTATAGGTGCTCTGCACTCTGCAGTCTGGAAGAGCTCTGATGTTGAAATATAAAGAGCTGCCTGGTCTTTCCTTCCCACAGGCTTAAACATGTCTTTCAAGCCTATGCTGCCTTCTCCAAACAGAAGACATGAACAAGCTTTGCATTTTAAAGAGTGATTTGCAGTGGTGGGTGGTGAGGGGTAGTTGACAGGTATACTGTAGACTTTATTGCAGAAAATTCATATTTTCAACAAAAAAATCAAAAAGATTCCTCCCACCTTTGGGCTGCCCACATTCCCTAACATCAATGGGGTAAAACTGACAGGGAATAGTTCATCAGAGACCTTCAGCAGGGAAGACACTACAAGGAGAAATGCTTCAATTGCCCATGCACGAGCATCCCATGTCTTCTGAGGTGCCCTAGGGCATCTGAAACATCCACATGAGGCTGAAAGTTATAATATTGTTTATATAGGAAAAAAGAGTCCCTCTTGGACCAGGGGCTAGAAGCTAGGCAGGGCCACCCAGGGCATCTCAGATGGTACTAGACACTTGTTTCAGCAAATTAATCAAGTCCTACAGCATTGCAGTTTGTCTGTTTTTACAAGAAGCCATGCAGAGAACAGGCAGGCTGCTGGTACATCACTTCTGTCTGAGATCAAGGGACTGCAGATGAGACACAAAATACAAGTGCCAACACATCAATGTCGCTTCTGTAACCTCTGTCCTCTGTCAAAACAGCCGCCTCCGGTGAACGTACAGCTTATAAACTGGCTTTTGCCTCTGACTGGGACTGTGTGTAGATGTGACAGAGAAGCAATAAAGGGGCCTGCACGCTAAAACGGCATCAGCGAGTCCTCTTTCCAGGTGAAAACAGCCATGCAGAGAGCAGGCCTTCTAAGCAGCAAGTGTCCTAGCCTGATTTCCACTGGCCAGAAAATGCTTACTTTCTGAAAAAGTACTACTCTACAGTTTGACTCCACTCCAGCTGAGAGGGAGGCACTTGTCTGTGGTGTTAATTTCTAAGAATTTAGGCCTTGCAGGGGGAAGTGGACTTTAATGGCATCCATATGTGACTGTACACATGCCAACCTTTGTCATCCCCAGACACAGCAGGCTACATGTTGTCACTGTCAAAGCAGTGCCACCAACTAATAAAGATTTCAACCCCCCACTGAATTACTAGGCAAAATGATTTAATTGTGCCAACATTCAATCTGCTGGGCAATTACCTGGTAAACCACCACAACACAACAAGCTCTCCTTCTTCCGTAAGGCTTGAGTCAGTAGTAATACCTCCATGCTCCCACATCTGGTCTGCAGCAGTCTCCTGTCCTGAGAAAGTCCAGCTTCCGTCCATTCTCTCCCTATCCCCCACATGTCTGCCATACAGCCATGTTCCAGTGACACTGTGGTCCATGAATACCCCAGTTAAGGTTTGGTTGAATTGTTCTGTGGTATCACTTTGGTGGTAGAGGAGGGGGAATGGAGAAGAAGGAGCACATGCACTAGCGACAGAAGACCATACCTCTTGACACAGAGACTGTGAGAGGTCAGAATAACATCAGAGGGACTCAGATGCAGAGCAGCAGACAAACACCTGAGACACCTCCACTGCACTCAAAAGGCTAATCTGCTGCTGAGGCGGGGGCAACTATCAGAAGCATGAGGAGGTTCTCCATTCACTTATTACTCAGAAACAGCTACAAAAAGGACAGCAGGAAAGTGCTATTGCACAGGGTGGCTCTTCCCTCCCATCCTTTTTGCCCATGCTGACAGGGCTGCCTTCTCCTGTGGTCTGGAGCCAGGAAGGAATTGGTCCATGACACTGTCATCTACCTGCTGTCCCTCACAGCATTAAAGGCACTTACCAGTACAGCCAGGTCACCTTGCACAGACCTCTACTCCTAAGAGTCCTCCTAGGATGTGGCCAAAGATACAAGACTCTGCTGCGGAAAATTTGCCCCAGAGAATGAGGGAGCTATGAAGAGGATAACCATAAATCACCAAAGTGTTTTGCTCCACAGGCCATCAAAGCCTGAGAAACATTCTCTTTTTTTCCCCCTGTACTGTCCTCTGATGAAGTAGCATTAGCAGCAGTAAGGCCATAGTGCCCACTGTGCCCCTTGGGGAGGGCACACTTCCATGAGGGCATCCTAGTCACTGCAACACAAGCCGCTTGCAGAACAACAGAGCAGCAGGTGCACCAACACAAGGAACTGCTCCTCTTCTAGCAGCTGATCAGGACCTTATCTCTGACAGGGTGAGGATAAGCACTGCAAGGTCTATTTGCAGAGGCAAGGAAATGTAAGCAGAACTACAAGCTCCTTCATAAGCTATGCCAGCTCTTCCCTACAGTTACCCTCAACAGATCCAGAACCGCCTGTCCTCCTAGCTGCAGAAAACCACCACCATAAATCCCTCTTCTGCTTCAAGGTCAGCCCACTGGTGCATGAGGGCACCTCTTGCGCAGAGTATTGCCCCCTGACCAAGGGGGCTCCAACACATGCAGAGTCATGGCAGCCACTTCAGCTGTGCCAAGCAGGCACAGTGCCTGGTGGTTTCTGCCCACATCAGTCACTTGTCAATCTAAACGTAGGTGGTTGGCCAGTGGCCATGCTGGCCTCAGTTTAACAGTCCCACTGGCCAATCATCTGTGGTTTTAATCCTTGTAAACCACACTGACGTACCACATTGACCTTCAGATGAAGTGTTGCATGTATATTGGCCAAATTTGCTGTGCTGCCCACACAGCCAAAAGAAGTTGTTTGTGGTTGCTCTTAAATACTGTCCTTTCCCATCAACAAATGGGCAGAAGAGGACAAGGAGCAGAGTGGGGGATGCTTCCCATACATTAAAATTGCAGCCCTGAAAATTTAAGGCAAAGCTTTGTGAGGTTCTTACAGGCTTTCAGATCTCAGGAAATCAGCTTGTGCATTTAGGCTGAATCGGACTTGATGGGTTAAGCATAATAGATGGTTAACAGTCTACCGATAGCAAAATAGTGATTACAGGCACACTGGATGATGAAAAGTTCCATGCTTTGTGGTATTGAAGAGTGGTCATGCACTGGTTAGAGGAAGTGAGGATGGGTTCTGCACTGTCTATCAAAAAGGAGGACATGTTGCAGAGTATGTTTGTGTAGGAGCCAGGATTTTAGATTCTGTTTTTCTTAGTTGTTCCACCATTGCCACAAATTTACAGACTATGTCTTTTGTGTTTTACAATTGACTGTAGTGGGCACACTCTGGTCATGTGTGACTTGGGATGGGTACACATGATGGTGGTGGGATTGCCCTGGGACATCCAGGGTCCACGGTGGGAAAGGCAATGCCTGCTACCCCTTCTGTTCTGATGCAGGGGGTTTGGGATTAATGAAATCAGACAGCCAGTTTGCAGGTATGGTCCATGAGGAGGACCTACATGAGGATCGGGGTCACTGCTGCACCAGAGGAAAGGTGACTCCCACAAGTAAATACACAACAGG